TTATTAACTACTTTAAACCCACTGCAGTCCTTGGACAATACTCCCCAACAAATAGTCCGCAATTGAACAAGATAGATTTCACACAAAAGGTTGTCCAACTCAATATTATTGGGGGAGGGGGGCTAGTGTCATAGGAAATTAGTTTCAAATGTTTTTGTAAAGAGAGAAGTTTCTGTATTTCAAAATAAAAAAAATTACATTTTAACTACATAAGACATTACAAAAGCACATTTATTGACACTAGAGTTGTACAGTAACTTATTAATTGACTAGATCAACACTAAAGGCCTAGCATAATATATAAAGTCACAGAACATCCAATTTATTGTACCCAAAACATGAAATTATATCAGTTTTGATTTTTTAACCCACTCCATTAATGCAACTGCTAATAAAATGTTAACTATTCAAACACAATCAAAGTATCATTTGAACTTAGCAGTGCTTACCTAAAATTCAATTAGCTACACAAACACACATTATAATTTAGTCAGCATTAAGAATATTTTATGTTGTTTTTAATTTTGAAACTAAGGTCAAACCAGTTTCATGGCTTAATAAGGTAGCTGCCTTTAATGTTGCTAAGATAATCTGTACTCTCATACTTCCTTTGCAATATGACTAGGTACATCATTAAAGACCGACGACTCTCAGAAACAGGATTTCAAAATGTCATGTTTCTATTAAAATAATCCAAACCTAATATCAATTTTCATTTAAGCAGCTCTAAAATAACATTTCAAACCACTTGAAATCACTGTTGACTGGTAAATATGTCATAATCAAATCAACAAACTTTCCGTATCTGTCATTTCTATACCTGGACTGATTTCAAGTAACTTTTGTGATACGTTCTTTTATAAGCCATATATGTATCAACTTATCAAGTTCAGGTTTTTCTTTTTTTTTAGGTGATCCACAAAATAAAGGAAAACAACATCTAACATATATCCCAGACAGTATATAACAAACATGAAACACTAATGAAAAAGTTTACTGATGAATTAATTTTTAGTGCAGAAAGCTACCTTCCTGTATACAAGCTCAGAAAAGTGTTAACATGTACTTATAAATTCAGCGTCATTTAGTCTTTACTAAGTGTTGAGACAAACAATGTTCAATTATGAATAAATGTAGTGTTTAATTTCTACCTCATATACATCTTAAAATGTTTTTTTTGCTTTAATTAAACATAATTAAAATTGAAAGAAAGCTGATGTAAAAAAAGAAAAAAAAAGGTCTCATATGATTTGGTTTGAATTTTGTGCAAAGCTATACAAAGGCCATCCCTAATTTAGCAGTGAAAGACTAGAGGGAAGGCAGCCAATTATCACCACCCACCACCAACTCTTGGGCTATTCTTTTACCAAAGAATAGTGGGATTGACCATCACATTATAATGCCTCCACAGCTGAAAGGGTGAAAATGTTTGATGGGATGGGGATTCGAACCCGCGGTCCTCAGATTGCGAGTCAAGAGCCCTAACCACCTGGCCATGCCAGGCCAGTCTCAGATGACACAATCAGCAGTCTATATAGTAAAAGATATATTTGTCTATCATAAGTAGTCATTTCAACATTGTTGAAAGGTAATAACTGAAAAAAGAATATATAGTCACACAATCAATATACTTTGAATACAGTTTTGAATTAAAAAATAACATGCCACTGGGCACAACATCACAGAGTATTTGGCCTAAAATCAAATCTAGCAAACTTTTAACTTTCATTATAAATATCTCAAAAATGTTTCCATAATTTCTGATCCATTAGATTAGTTAATTTGATGCTGTTAATAACTCAAGTGAATTTTGTTTTTCTTTCAGAATGAGCTATAAACTATATTTAGAAGTAAAGTAAGCCTTCATGATTAAGTAAATCAGTAAATTCCAATAAGAACTCTTAGATTTATCTTTGATTTCCATTCTATAAAAATATAATTGATTATAAGTCATAGAAAATCATATTTAGGTCCCCAAGAATACCCAACTCTTTAAGCTTAGTTACATACACATGAAGAGAAAAATGTTTCATTCAAACAGTTCACTTGCGTAGCATCACTGTCATATTACTCAGGGATGAGACCTGTTTGTAACCTTAACAAGAATTATTCTATTAATTAACAGTTTTTGTTTCTCAGTTCCTCTACAAGCAATACTGGCCTGACTTCATTCAGTCTTATCTATAATTAATCCAGTTGAAAGTTAAACACACCAAAAAAAAAGGGTGGGGAAAGGGAGATAGAGAGAGAAAATATTTACATCAGTCATTAAGTTTAAAATCTTCCTTTATTAGTGATCTAGCCATCTGCCATAGTTGAATTTTAACAAATGGTTTCTTATTAAGCACACAGCTACACAATCGACTATCTGTGCTGTGCCCATTGCAGGTATCGACTTGAGTTTTAGTGTTAAAAGCCTTCAGACTTACCAATGAGCCACCAGGGAGCAGTTAAGAGGTACAATCAAATGATGTCTTGCACAGATACAGGCTAAGAAGAAATGTGTACGAATGAAAAGTAAGTTTAATTTCCACTTGGCCTAGATGTAAATGTTTATCTTAATTATAATACCCAAAATACACACCAAATTCAAAATTCCTAATCAAACATACATTCACAGTGATAGGTACAATGTTAAAAATGCTTGAAATAACTTCCTATGGATATAAAAAACAATACATTTATATCATTAAGTTCTCCCCTACAAGTAACAAATTCTTACAAACTGCTACAAAACAAACCCCCTACAATGAAATACCAATAATATTAAAAATGTTTCTTTTTAAGTATTTCAAGTTCTATGAATAATGGCTACTATCTTTAATTCTACACAGTGTTTCTCAAAATACTACCCACTTTTTTTCACATGCAAGCACCTTTTTCCCCTTCTGTGGGGGTGGGGTGGGGGAGGATGAGGACAGACATTCCACTTACTAATTTGTGATGCTACTTTAATTCTGAAACCATTTTAGAATTTCAGTTGTCAAAATGTTATTGCTGAAGATCAATCTATTATATGTAACTCTAATTTTTCTTAAGATTTTCATTAGAAAACCTATATATATAATGAATTATTTGACCGGGAAATTCTCAAAGAATTTTAAAATATCTGTAATTTTTTACAAAAACTGGTGAAATGTTACAAATTTATGCTCACATGATTGTCATTACAAACAATCTAAAGTAGTCTGACTATCAGTAACCTCACTGTTTTAACTTTAAAGAATCTCCTATCTTTGGCATAGTTACTAATAAGTACTATCATACCTCCAATTAAGTTTGGTCAGGAAATTCGAGGGCCAGCACAGGCCCCTGGGCAAACAT